TTCTATTAATCTTCCTGGAGTTTGATTTTAAGCTTATTACTGAGCAACAGGTGCAGCTTTGTCTATGAATGGTTATTTTACACAAGGGCAACCCTGGACCCCAGTCTTCAAATGCAGCAAGCATTACAATCAAGATTTTATTGACTGTAGTCTGTTCATTCAATGTCTCACTTATTTTGATAGATACGCTATGCTCAAGGATATAATTTATTTCAGGCTTTGGATGGTCACTGGAGTTTGTCATTACGGCTACAGGAGATATTCCAGATCAGAATGACCTACACAAATATAGTAAACATGACATTTAACGCAGGCAGTGCTGATTCTAGTCGCCGACTCTTCATCACACATAGACAATGAACACACAGTTGTCACTATTAAAAAGAAACATTCTTACATGTGTGCTGCTATGAAAACATGTTCTGTATATATTATGTTTGTAATTTAAGTATGAGATGCTTTGCCTGACTCAGATGGCATCTAAGAGGCTCTTCTCTCCATACAGCTGCACTTACATGACAAGCTTATATTGTGAACAGATGCCTTTCATATACAGTGTGAATTTATACAGTCAGCTGAACACGGATGCCCCTCTATGAGTCTTTGTCAAGTTACACGGCAGATATTACACTTCTCTGCTGAACAGACAGAAATCTGAAATGTATGTTCCTAGGGAAAATCATGGCGTGTCCCTATTGAAGACAAACCCGGTGATTTTAACGTAACAGATGAGTGCATTTATCAAAACTTCAAATGTTTTTTCTAGATAAAAAGGAACATATAATGAATTTTCAGGAAGTTGGTCATTTAGTGTTTACCTACAAGTGTTTCTTCACAAGACTTACCCAGTTCCAAAGTAAGCTTTGCCACATCTTGTCATTTAGAGGAATTAGAGGTTAGCCACTAGAGAAAGGGTAGATTATCTACAATACCCAACTGCTTAAAGTGAACCAGTCATTAAACCAATATGGAGGCTGCCATTGGCGATTTCTTCTGAAAATAGTTGCCTAGCTGACATGCTGATCCACAGGCTTCATTATAGTTTGGGTTATGGATCCGAATAAGCATATAGACAATAAACATTGGAGAGAAGTTAGAGCTCCTTATCTGTACAGTTGGACACAAAAGTCCTCTTGTCAGGTTTAAGGTATGCAGAAGTCCTTTACACAGGTAACCCTACACATAAACAAGCAGTTAACCCATGCAGTGTTAAGCTGGGTTCACACCTGAGCGGTTTTTTTATGCTCGTTTTTCAGCTCGTTTTATTTTCGTTCAGTGAAACGCGCGTTTCACTGGTGGGATGATTTTTTAAAGTTTTTTTCCTTTATTTTCTCAATTTTTTTTTGTTTAAATTTTAAACTTATCGCCGGCTCCGACCACCTGCGACGCGGCCGCTCGCAAGGGACGGAACCCGGAAGTCGGCAGCCGCCGAAGACACAGCGGGGATCACGGACAAGGTAAGACCTGTAAGTTGTATTCCCGAGTGTGGCTTGGGGTTACCGCTTTGTTAACCCCGATCCACACTCGGGAATACCAATGGCAACGCGTGGCAAAACGCCCCAAAGAAGCTCCTGTACTTCTTTGGGCGTAGGGCGTTTTGCAGCACGTTCCTACGCGCTGTAAAACGCCCAGGTGGGAACCATGCCCATAGGCAATCATCGGTTTTCACATGTTGAGAGTTTTACAGAGCGTAGGAATGCGCTGTAAGACGCCGAGGTGTGAAACAGGCCTTAGGGAATCCCCACTGCAAGGGGAGTTTTATTCCCCCTGGGGAAAACTTTAAGGTACAAAACTTTAAAGTGTATTTCCACTTTTGCAGCCGAATCGGGATAACACCTATTTTATATTTGTTTCATGTTCCTATTTACATAAAAGAAGCTAAAAAAGATTTAAAATTACAATTTTAAAATTGCAGTTTAAATTGCTTTTACTTGGGTTAGGGTTTCTTGGCTTTTTAAGGGTTAAAATTTCTACTTGTTTTTCCTTCTTTGTAATGTTAGGAGGGGTTGTGAGGGGTAAAGGATTACAGCTCTGGCTTTTCTAGTGTTAATTAAGTTAATGGTAATGTAGTTAATGAGAGAAACACAATCATCAAATTTAAGCCTTCGTATAAAGACCACTGTCAGGAAAACCTGCAGTCAGCCATGTTGTCTGCTGCAGCAAAAAATATCTAAAAGATAAGAAGTTTAAAATAAAATATTTTTCATGGTGCTGTGGGAATGAAAACACACAACACACATATAGAGGGGTTTTCTCAAATTGGACAGCAAAAGTGGACACTTAAAGTCTGCCTTAACTAAAGAAAGCCAAGCACTGCTTCCTGTTGGTTTACAGATGCTGTCAAACATGTCATAACTTTTTATTGCCACTAACCCGTGTAATGCAAATGTACAAAAAAATAACCGAATACATTCTGAGAAAATGTTCACAAGGTGCAAAGGGTTTTCCCAGGAAAATCTAAAAACACATGGCTGAAGCCATATAGATGACCAGAGACACTGACAAAGTTAACTAAACACCACCTCACACTGTCTGCTGCTGCTTTCAAAATGATGTCTTTTATACAATACGTTACATCTGGCCCACCCACGCTGAGGCTCTTTTACAAGACACTTAAATCAACAGTTCCTATAATCCATTTACTCATGCTAAAAAAAAATAAAACACATATGTGAATCAATTTAAATGGAAATCAAATTAAAGTACAGCTCCAGGCAAAACATTTTTTAAGCATGGAAAGATCAGGAAAGGGGGACAACCTCCTTCAGGCTTCATTACTATCTGTGATATTTTCCCTTACTTCCTCTCTCTCTGGCCATAGTTGTCATGGCAGGAAGTAAGAGAAAATCGAGCCAGTGGGAACAGAGACAGCAAGAAAATCCAACAGTGGTTCTAGGCCCTCCCCACTCACAAGTGCTTTTTTTTTTCCTTTTCTATTGTTGTGTGTCTGTTTTGGAGAGATTTTCCCGCCTGTCTGTCACAGTGACTACTGGTTTAAGGATGTATGGGGGGAATCGCTGGCTATAAAACTGTTCGAATTTTGTTAAAACGTTTGAACGAAATTGTTCATCAGAAAATGTAATCTAGCCATCATGGAGTCAACTAATTTCATTTGAAAGCCATTAAAAAAATCTCCTCCAGACCTGCTACTTGAATGGAACCCCAGACATATTAAACAGGTTACCTTTGTGCTTAACACAAGTGCATTACAAAATGTACCATTTTTCCCAAAAGAAAATCACATGAGCTTTTAGAATTTTGCTTGTTTAGATAATGTAAAAAAAATTCCATCCAGCTCCATCAATTTTTCCTGTCTGTACGTTCGAAAACAAATATTGATTAGACATTGATTTGTCTTACAAAACCATTAAAACACATCAATTATAAGCACTTTACTTTTAACACATGTGGGCGAGTGTTTGCTGGTTTTTTGTCTTGCGCTGTACACATTACTGTATAGTATTACACCACTATGGAGGGAATTTATCAAAACTGGAGTAGACTGAAACTGGAGCAGTTTCCCATGGCAACCAATCAGCATCTCTCTTCAGTTTGCTCAGTTGAGATTTGAAAATGAGAGATAGAAGCTGATTGGTTGCAGTGCAAATCTGCTCTAGATTTTGTCTGCTCTAGTTTTGATAAATACCCCTCAATGTCTGTGTGAATTATAGCGGGACATGATGTCATAGTGACGTCATAGGGGTGGTACTTTGTCTCTCTGGTGTATATTTCACTATATAAGTCTGGCACTTATGTTGTACGAATGTCACTATGTCACCTTAATGTCAGGGGCCTGTGTGGCCCCTGAAACGCTGGCTTTGCTTTGATGACGCATGTGACACATCTTTAATAAAGAGAAATGAAAAAATCACACTTTGAACTTTGTGAGTGCTGGTCATCTTCTATCCAATAATTTGAAGTGCAGGGAATCTACCGCAACACTCTGATTAGACCCCACTAACCAACAAAAAAAAAAAATCAAACGTTCAGAAAACAAAAAACTGCAAAACAAAATTCTACTGCTATATGGCCTACTTAATGCGGATGCAGACAACAATAAAACTTGGCAGAGGTTCCACACTTTCCACATTTGTCTGGCAATTATATCATTCTTATGATCCTTGGCAACAGGAAGAAGTGTCATTGCATTGAATTACTAGTAAATTTCTTAACTAGGAGTGTTTTCAGGGTTTAGCAATTAATATATGCAAAACAAATCTGCCTTATTTTTATATTTATAAAAACAAAATCGTACATTAAAACAGAGATGTACAAATCCCAGGAGCTCCGTGTGTTCCTTACAAAGGACAGCTGCCTCCTAACTTTTGAATTATCCTCTAGTGTAGTCTTGGAGCTCAAAAGTATCGGTACATGTACTCGTACTTGCACTGAGTACTGTACTTGGTATCTGTGCAACCCTAATTGCACCCATTACGCCGCACATGTTACATACGAACGTTACGCGAACGTCGGAATGAGAGCAATAGTTCTAGGGCCACCAATCACTGATAACACTAAACTGATGAGCGGTAAAAGCTTTTAAAGCGTCGCCTATGGCCAATTTTGGGTATGCTAGTTTTTTGCGATTTTGCGAGTGCGCGCAATTTTTACACTTGACATGTTTGGTGTCTATTTACCCGACGTGACCCCATCTTTTATATTTTACCAAAAAAGTGGGTAATATTAGTTGTTTTATAGCATAATGTAAAAAAAAACGTTTTTTTCTCAAAATTTTCAGTAATTTCTCCTGAATATAGTAAAAAATAAAACCCGCAGTGGTGATTAAATACCACCAAAAGAAAGCTCTATCTGTCCCCAAAAAATGGTATAAAATTCATTTCAGTACAGCGTTGCGTGACGGAATAAATGTCAGTCAAAGTACCGCAGCGCTGAATACTGAAAAATGGCCTGGCCAGGTAGGGGATCTGAACACCTGGTCTTCAAGCAGTTAAAGTAGGCATGAAAGAAAGAAAATGACAACAGTAAAGATTGTATCTTACCAAGGCAGGCCACTGGACTTGCTTGACCTTTGATCCCTGAGACTGGCTGGGGTCTTTCCTCTTCGCCCAGACCAGCTGGAACTCCACAAAAAAGGCTGTAAATTCTTCATATACTTTCACCCATTCTCGTTTATCCCACTCTAGGTCATCAAATTCCACATAGACCTAAAAAGGAAAGAGAGCGTATGTTAAATATACAGAGGAATATTTTACGTGCACAAGCCCCAGCAAGAGGATACAGTTTCACTAAAGGGTAGACGGCAGCCGCACAGCATGGGAGGACAAGTTTAGTGGAGCAAGACCTTTTGTCATCAACACACAGAGGCACAATAGCTCAGAAGAATACAAAGCTGTCTTTGGGCTCATTCATTCATTCAAACATTGCTTGGGAGGATGGGTTCCTAATTTCAGCTCCAATGTGACGTGAACCCAGCCTAGCATACAATAATCTCTTTTAGCTAGAAACATGTAAACAGACATAAGGGCCTTGTGCAAAGTTCAATGCCAAATTTAGTTAAAGTACAGCAAAGTACAGCAAACAATCAGTTATCGGTTTACTGTAGACAAGTGAGAAAAGAAACTGAAAAGAATTGTTTAAATTGCAAAAAAAAAAAAAAAATATTTGTTCAGTTAGCCTTCTGATCAGAGCCAGACATCACAGTGAGGCCCGGCACTTCTCAGCATACCACACTGCAGAAAAACCAAGTCATGTTCAGGCCCATCACTCCCTATGACTACATAGAGCTCTGACGACTGACTCCGGGTGCCAACCATTTCTTTCCCAGTCTGAGGACTATGCAGGGAACTGTTCAAGACACATTTAGGTACTTCTGCTAGTTCTGCGTAAAATACATGTATTGATTTTTCTAATTTATTTTTATATTGAATTGTTTTGTACGTATCTGGAATTCAAATTTAAATTAATCATTTATTTGGGAATCAATGCTTTTATTGCTGATGGTGAACTAGCTCCTTTATTCATCAACATGTTGAGTATTTAGTCCTAGAATTAAGCTGGACATACATTTGTAGTTTTTTTCAGGTTTAGCTCCACTGGCTAATTCTTCCCTTCTGGACTACAGACAGTCCTCGGGTTATGAACAAGATAGGGACTGTAGGTTTGGTCTTAAGTTGAATTTGTATGTAAGGTGGAACAGGTACATTTTTTAAATGTGTCTGCAGCCAAAACATTTTTTTATTTTTGTTTTGGATAGCGTAGGGAAGGGCGATTTCACCTCACTTTCTGTCCCTGTGACAATTGGATTTTGAAAATTTTGGGTATGCTTCAGTGAAGACACCTTTTTCCCATTGTTAACTCTTACAGGAGTGAATTTTCCTTCCTAGGGGTAGGTTTCCTCTCACTTCCTGTTGTGGACAGGAAGTGAGATTAAATCTTTCTAATGAGGATACAGACAGCAGTAAAAACCTCACAGTGGCCTGGAAGAAGAGGCAGGCACCCCTCGTCTGCACGTCTAACAAGAGCCAACTTCCTGTAAAGTACGTACAGCACTACGAACCAGACCCAAAAAGGTGGGCACTCCTTGTCAGCACGAGCACGGTAGCATTACAACTACCCCTGCTGTACAGTAATAGCCTCCGTTTGTAAGTAGTCGGATGTATGCAACCCCGGGACTCCCTGTACTGTATTCTGACATACCCGGACAGTGACTGCAGCTCACTCTTCTGCGGACAATTTGCGGCCCGTCTCCTTTGACAAAAGTCAGTTTAAATTGGAGCAGGGTCACCCACAGCTTGAATTTCGGTCGAGTAAGCAGGACTTGGCTAAAATCTGAGCGGTTTATGGCCAGCTTTATAATGCAGTACATATAGAGATGATCTCATCAACACAGCTTCATGCTTGCTTTAAATCTGTATTTACCTTATTCAGACAGTGCCAGTAATCCATAACTGTCACAGATAACATGAAACAAATACATTTACAGTAAAGAGATGAAAGTGGAGTAGTAGCTTGAAACCCTATAGAGGCAGCTGCCACTTTTGCTTCTCCCTTGGCCCTGTATTTTCTTTCCTAGATTTGCATAATCAAGGATGTGATCAAATATCATACAGCTCAGGTTGTGTTTAGCTGTGAAATAAAAGGTAGTAAGATCGGCAAACCTTCTTCAACTTAAATTCCATAGTGTCCATATCAGCCAATATAAATTCCATAGTGCCCATTATTTTAAATGTAATCTATTGCCCAGTTCAAGGCAAACACACGCCTCCCAAATGTTGCCTAATCAAATATTTTATCATTGGAACAGGTTGGTTAATTCAATCTCATGGTGGCCATTACCGTATATATATACATGTATTTGATCATTAACAATATTATCTAAGGTTACAGACAAGTATGACAGCTTCTCAAATTGGCTGCGATAGGAGGCACCCACAGTTTTAACCAGAGCCATTTATCTACTCTCCATCTTCTCTCTCTTTGCCATCGAGTCATAGATCCTGAGAATGTTCGGATCATGCATGCAAGTCTCACCACTCTTGTAGGAGTGCCCTTGGTCTCCAATACATTTCAGAGGTCCCACAGGTGTTAAAAGACTTGATTACACAGGTTCAGCCATGTGTGTATGTTCACATCAATTTAAGATTGGGCCAATTAACCAGACCTGGGTTCTGATTCAATCTTTACTTTCATAAACTACACTGATGATAACAGCTCTTTAAATAATGGTCCACCAGTAGAGTCTTGTGGGAAAAAACAGAAACAAGATTCCCCTTCAGATCTCATTATACTATAAAACAGACCTTCTGCAAACCTCAGTAGATGGGAAATCCTGCAACTGTGGTCATTCACGCTGCTTTCAAAGCCATACTGTCATCATTTCAATTAGTCCTCTTGCACAAGGCAACATTTTCCTGTTTAGCACTGACAATACGCAGAAATGTTGATCTGAATTGAGAAATCACACAACATTTATACCAACCTCAGCAGATTGCCAAAAAGGGATGTTGAGCATTAGCAATGGGTTCCCTTCGGTATCGTTTGTCTAGCAAGGAGACTGAACGCATTAGCAAGAGTCTGAGGCAGGCCAAATGTCCCTCTGGGCACACAGACTGAAAATAGCTGCTCTAAATATAAGGGAAAGCCTTGGCAAACCTCAGTTGTGAAAGGCATCAGCATGGCTTCAACTCAAGCAAAAAAAAAGAAGACACTGTCTTCTATATGAACAAAGATATAGGAGCGAGTAAAACGAAATCCTAACACAATGGGGTTTGTCTATTCCATTAATAGGAGATAGAAAAAAATAACCTTTCTGTACACTATGCAGTATTATTATTATACAGGATTTATATCGCTCCAACAGTTTGCGCAGCGCTTTGCAATATAAGGAAGACATTACAATACACTTCAAGACAAGATGAGGAGGGCTCTGCCCATGAAAGCTTACAATCTAAAAGGGAGGGGCAAGTGATACAAAAGGTGGTAGCTGTGTGGAGATGAATTGCTTGAGAAAGTGATAGTTCAGTGGTTAGTTTGAAGTGGGATAGGCTTCCCTGAAGAGATGAGTCTTTAGCGATAACCTAAAGGCAGTCAGAGTAGGAGATAGATGAACAGGTTGGGGTAAGGAGTTTCAGAGGATGGGAGAGACTCTAGTCCTGGAGGCGAGCATGGGATGAGTTGACGGGGGAGCATCATAATCGTTATCCTAATCAGCACCGACGATCTTGATTTAAGAAGGGGTAAAAGAAAAAAATCCTGCAAAGATTTTTGACTGGCTCCCTTTTATACAGGAAAATGATAGACTTTTCTTTATAAAATGAGCTCATAGTTGTATGTCTCACTCTGCAGGAGTCTGTGTTGATGACGGAAGCTATGTAGAGAATTCAACAACAAAAAATAAATAAATACAAAGATTATAAAAGAAACAGAACGCCTTGTTCAATTAACTCTCAACATTTATCAAACCAAAATAAAAGTGTGCATCTCTCTTTAAAGAACAAAACTGACTCAAAATGTAGGAGGATCACTCAAATAAATGCCACAGGACGAATAGCAAACAGATGTGACGAAAAAGACTCACAAACACCGCCACCCCCACCCGGTCAGAGCTGTCCTCCTCCCCCACTTTCACTGGCATGCTGTGTGGAGGAGCTCAGAGACTTGCATTCCCCTGACAATCACCTGTCACTGTCAGCTGGGATGACCTCAGTTCCACCAATGTGTGGGAAACAAATACAGCTTGGGTAGTGTTCTATCACACAAGAGTCTGTCAGGAGCTGTCAGAGGCTTAACTCCTTCCTACATGCCATATTATTAGATCAGTAAGTGATACAGGCAAGATAGAAAAGCTTAATATAAATAAAATAAAGGTCTACAAAATTGCACAGAGTTTCTTGTAAGCAGCGTATACGTTTGGAGTCTTTTTTTAAAGCCAAGAGGGCTTAAAAAAAGAAAAAGAACTAATGCCCACCAAGTTCTAACACTTACAATTCCAACAGCTTTGGTACAGACAAAGGACAAAGAACAAACCCCCTTAGGAAAACCTTGGCATTCTTGTCCCACAGAAGAAAATCAGGGAGGTCAGATCAATGCTCTGGATCAAAATGTTACTATATTAGCATTTAGTAATTAGAACATAGAACATTTCAGGCTGTAAGAAAATCACCCAATCCTTCCATAAAACTGAAATGAGCTCGAAAAGTGAAGATTTGCTATATTAATGTCTTCCTTATATTGTAAAGCACTGTGCAAACAGTTAGATCTATATAAATCTTGTATAATAATGATATTAGAGGAAATATTTAAAAAGTGTTAATTGTGCCTAAGCAGTCCGATATAGTTACCTTTTGTCTGAAATTCGTCCAGAAAAACAGCAGTGCGTGCCTGGTACATGAGGGCACCTAGGGACTCAAGCTAATAGCTGTATATCAACAATGTGAGATTTAGGGCACTGCTGCCCCTGACTGCTAACCTCTCGGAGATCTGGGGTGAGATTTGGTGATGTCACTACTGTACTGCTCACTATTCTCCTTGCTGGAGGCTCTGACATGATGAAACAAAGTCCCGCTCTTTCAAGATGGCTACCTGCACAGAAGCATGGTAATTCAGCACTGGGGAAAAAATTTCAGCTTCAGGGAGACCACAGGCAATACTTGGGACTTGTCCTGTTTTTGCCATTGCCATCTTAAGTGGCATTGTAAAGTTCATC